GTGCATGCCTTTGTGATGTCATGAGAACTACGAGGAATGATTGGATCATGCGTCCTGAAAAATGGAAAAGAATTACGCACAAGATCGTAACTGTCTTAGATAAAGTACATTGCTTTGGAAGTCTCCTTTATATCTCTTCCTTCCCCGCGAAAACAAACAAAAAACAAAAACGGCTGCACACAGACTAGATATATAGTATMTAGTGTATAGATATATTGACTYATGATAGGATGGAAGCCAAGTACAATGGATAAGAGAATCATTTATCAATGTAAAAAAAAAAAGTTTCCATCTAATCATTTGTAGTCAAATCCAACAAGTTGATACTCACCCTGGAGGRAGTGAGTCGATGTCTTTGATTTCTTTAGTAGACAGAAGAGTGACACCATCAACGACATAGAAATGCATCTGACCAAATAGGAAYAGACCTTCAGCGGTATCTARSCCCTGTACTCTAGCACATCGATACATGGACCGAATCTAAAGTATATCAATGGTATATAAATACACAAACATATGTGCAAGTAGGATAGAGTAGAAGTTATGGGCTATATTTTTGTGCATTGTGAATTCGCAGCCACTAGTTTGTTTATACTGACAAAGAATAGCAGTGGGTTGTGATGTTACCTTTTCGCCTGCTTCCAACAGCTTTACTATCGTCTGATTATCGACCTGAAGAAAAGTACAAAACTCAATAATTTGTAATTTCAAAATGTGTTTAAAATTCGTGCCTTCTGTGGTGTAGAGAGAGAGTGAGAGGAGGCAAGACCGCAAAGAGAAAAACTAAAATGTTTAAGGGATTTTATAGTAACAGTCAAGTCCTGTGTGAATAAAAAATTCTCTCTGTTGCTTGTTCTACTTGACTTCCCGTGGATTTGACTGGCGTGCTCGCGTCACCTAAGTCTCCGAACTCTCGCTACGCCATGGTGTGGGGTCTCGTCGTCCTGATACTCAAGCTTTCAAAAGAATTATCAGTCTCACCTCAGATCCCTCGTTGGTCTCAGTGACGTAGCTTTGTTCAGTCGACAGAGATCGGGGAGGGAGTTCCTTGTTGTATTTATCTGTCACTATGACAACAATAAGATTTTAAAATATAMCAACGCATGCTKCTGTATTGCATGCAGTTAATATGAATCCCGCATATTTCGCTTAAAATTTGTGCGTGCGCATGAAATTATTTGAAATACAGCTCCAGCTTGTCAACATTGCCAGTAGGTGACATCAATTATACTAGCAAATATAAAGGCACTGAGTAACTACAATTTCCTCTGAAACCATCTTCAGGCTTGAAGTTGAAAAGSCATGCAAAAACGCCTCTGGGAAAAACGGCATGATCTCAAGTTCGTCTCTTGGCATTTTGAAGCTAYAGCTATTGGTGTAAGGGAAAATACAACGCAGCGCTGGTATAAAAAATGTTCTATGATGGCGCCTTATCTTTGTCATTTTTGATTGCGTATGACTCTAAAACGGCACGCAATTGAAAATTATTTTAACCAATCACAGAACAAGAAATCACTATTCATCMAATGAACAGTGATTTCTTGTACTGATGTACGGATGGTAGTCGTAGTAGCAGTGGCAGTAATAGAGGTGATTTYAGTAGCTTGTACCGTCACGGTCACGSCTACCTGACTTCAATCCGGTCGCGGCAAGGCAAACAAAATTGCTGTAATAAAGCTTTGCTAACCTTGGTTTTTGAGAAGAGCTTCTATTGGTCCAACCCCAGGCAATGCTGGTCCTCTTAACATATAGTACGTCTTGCTGTCAAAACTCATGGCCTTCTTGTATCTGGTTTGTTTCTGAAAGTCACAGGAAATCAATATTGTTAGCAGACACTGAGAATTCCAAAATGAAGAAAAATAATTTGATGTTGTGGACCAGTGGCAGTAGTATTGATTGTGCTAGAGGTGTTGGAAGTGGTAGTAGTAGTAATAGTTGAATAAATAGAGGTGATGGTTAGTGGTGGTTCTAGTGATGGTAGAGGCAGTGGCAGTGGCAGTGGGTAGTGGGTAGTCGCAGTGACAGTGGCAGTGGCAGTGGCAGTGGCAGTGGTAATGAAAGAGGTGATGGTAGTGGTACCTTTAAGTTTCCTGATCTGTAGTCGTAGGGGTAATTCACATAGAACTGCTCATTGCGACACATTTTCTTCAACATCCGGTGTGGACCTGAAAAAAATGAGAACCAATCATACTTCAAGAGTTCAGGTGTTTCAATTTTGGCTAATTAAAACTCGGAACAAATGACCGAATGAACAAATTACAAAATGGATAGATTGAAGAATTAAAAATAAGATAAAATAAAATAAACCGAAGATATTCACAATATGAAATTTACCTTCGACAAGGTCAAGAGTCCATTTGTCCAAAGTCGAACTATCAGGGGGACCCCACAGTCCTCGTTCTCTGGTCAGATCTCTTTCAATTAGAGTCCATTCCTCTGCTATGGATTTGGAGATAAGCTGATAGTTCTGCAGATTCAATTTCGAATAGGTTAATAAAAATTGTCTCAATTTCCAAAATTCCGGAAAAGCACTTTAACTAAGTCTTTTGGACTGCCAGCTGGCAAAAGGGCGGGAAAACGTTATGGAAACTGCGACATGTTGGCGTGATGGCAGCCATRACAAGAGGCACAACAACAGAGTCTTTTTTCTTGGAAACTGAAATTCTTCTTATCTAAATAAGATTAGACCAGCCATTCAATTGTTCCTGTCTCCTGTCATGGCTCCCATCACTTGATGGTGCAAATCCTCTATACTATACCATATATACACTACTGAACCAGCCCTCACAGACAGTATAAGACAGTATAATAAATAATAAAGCACCTTTGAATATAATCTATACAATTACTGTGGTTTACTGTGGTACTCCCTTTTCGGCTAACTCGGTAGTTGCGAACTGCACGCTGAAAWTTGTTTTTATTTTTTGCTGCCGTCAGTTAAAAATAATGAGTCAGTAGATTTTATATTCTTGAAAAGTAAAAAAAAACAAATTGTCAAGCCGTTGAAATCTAGGAGTCGGAGTTTGCAGAATATTGAAAACCGCTGTAATCTTAACAATAAATATACCTGTTGATGGTTTTTCTGCTGTAGTCGTACCCAGTCCTTCACGACTTTAATGTGTTTCGGTGTCCATAGAAACGAGTTTTTGGTCAAACTGTTGACGTCACGGGTATCCTTTTTGGCTCTTCTTGCTGTTAGACGAGGTACCGTGCGACGCTTTGGTTTCTAAARATATAAAACATAATAAGGAACGAAAAATGGGATGTTGGTTTCCTACGCTCCTCTCGTGTTCTCTCAACATCCCGCGWGTTTTGATCAGAGTATCAAACACGTAAAACTGTTTGTGATCTGTTAATTTGTTGATGGAGTCCTTTACAGTATTCACCTGTTGTCCAAGAGCTTCGGCCTTGTGTTTCTCTTCAGAGGTCACGAAGTTAACCCAAGCCTTCATAGCAAGGTCTCCTATAAGAGGCCTAATGATAAAAAAAGATCAAATATCAAAGGCAGATGTCGTTGTCTGTGTGCTCTGTTGTAAGGAAATCACAAATCACGAGYATCAACAGGCGATACATTTTTTTAGTCCTTGAAAACATTTGACAAATATTTTTTTCCTGGTCCTTCCGTCATATCCAATCTTCTCTATCCTWTTTGATTCAATTCTACTCAATTAGATCCTTTAGTTGTTTTGATAACTCAATAAAGGACATATAAAACATATGGTATTAAGGCCTACCTGACTGACTTTAGRTCCAGATTGAGGTTTGATCCACTTCCCATTGGCCTGTAGAATATAATACAAAAACATCAACAAGCAACAACATACAATACAAACAACAATTGATGTGTTTCTTACATGTAATCCATGTATTCACGTGKGCTGTATGATGTAAAGCTTGGTTTGGGAAGCTCGATCTTGAAAGTTTCATCGATGGCCTGGAAATAAATAAAATAATTTTTTTTTAATGATAGGTTTTTTAAAAAAATAGGAAAAAAAATTGCAGCAGACACTCTTTATTAAGCGAACACCAAGCAAAGTCCCGAAGAAGTTTGCTTAATTCAAAAGAAACTAGCAATAGACAGGAGCTTATAATGAGAATTATGATATATTTCTATGAAATTTTTTTCGATAAGAATTCATATAATTGATTATTCACTTCTTTAAATATAAAACTGGCTTCTCAATTTTACTGAATTTGAGTWTTTCAATTTTGTTGCCCGTCAAGTTGGATGTATACGCAACCTTGAGAAAATGGTCTATACTTACGTCTCGTTTATTGAGCAAGAATATATCCCAAACCCTCTCAGCTGCTGCAGCTAGCAGGCGGGAACAGCTTGATTCTTCATCTGCTGTTTCGTTAAAAGTATCGTGCTCTTCCGCCTCATCGGCCTTCTCCACACTGAAGGCTAAATTTTGGATGACGGATCATATTACATTATGGTCATTATGTAGGGAAGGAAGGAGGTATGAGGTGATATGAGGGTRGTAGGAAAGGAGGGAAGAGGGGAGTTAGGGAGGGAGGGAGGTAGGATGGAGGGGTATGGGGTGCTGGATATGAGGGAGGTAAGAAAAGAGGGAAGGATGGAGGGAGGGAGAGTATCAAGCACATACCTGGTGGAAATACAAGACTGTCCATCTCCTTGATGGGTGTACTAGTACTGGGAACACTCTCAGTATTGGTTCTCCTCTGYGTACCCATCACRAGCAGCCAGTGGCAGACACCAGCGATGAACTCAGCTTCATTATTACCAGGTGCAAAAACAACTTTATGATTGGTGGTCAATATGTGAAGGAACTCCAGAAGACTTGTTTGATCTGACAAGTAATAATGCGCAGGCGTTAATAACTGTTTGAGGACGATTAAGGAAAACGTTACACAAAATTTTGGGTTGGGGGGTTCCAAAAACTGAATGGGAAAAAATCTRAAATCAACATTGCTCGACATCTGCATAAATTATGAACCCTACCTAATAGAGTTACCCTGTAAATCGAGTATAAATAAWGTTTATGTMYGGGTGTATGTATATTCCTGTTGTTTTGTTTATCACAGTACATAGCCTGTGGGCTAAACGTATTGCAAAGTAACTAGCGATACAGACTGAGAAATTTCGGRAAACGGCAAGCTGAACTGAAAAACAATAACTGGGATTTCATCAAGAGTTATTAATAAAAATATAACTTACCCGTGAGTCTTGCTAATGGTCGTGACAGCTGATAGAGTACGGTTCTGTTAAGTGAATGATATATACCATCCATGGACACTGACTGACCTGAAACATAGACATTGATTATAGCTTTCACCATCACTATTGCTAGTTTATATCAAACGCCAGAAACACTGACTCAGTCTTCTTGATTTAGAGGACTCGATTAGATTTTCATTACCATCACTATTACTATTGAATAGTCTGTGTGAATTGGAAAATCCCAATCATGGTGCACGGTTTACGAGGGTGTACGGTGCACAGCTCGAAATACATAACCGTAATGGCGTGCAAAGTTACTGTTGAATTAATCAGAACGCTAGGTAACGCGCAATGGTCACGCATGGTCACAGCAAGGCAAGTCCATTTATGATCGTTTAATAATAAGTTTTTTAAGCCAAGTGTTTCTCTTGCTTCTGCAGTGCTCTAAAGCTCCYGGAGTGTTCATATYACAGTACAKAGACATGCGCGCACGTTTYGTTTTCTTTAGAATGTGAGCTTCACAAAATTAATTACCTTTAACAGCCTCCATAATACTCGTAATGAAGTTAAAGACCACTTTGTAGCTCAGTCTAAAATTACCTGCAACAAAATGTCATTTGATTTCATATTCACTGGTTGACTACCAGTCATCTAAACCTTCAAATGTTATCAAATCCTGAAACATCCTTTGAG